TTTGATTGGTGGTTGTTTATTACTTCAAATCCATATTTCATTATATTCAATAAATAGATAATAATATATTTAACAAGAATTGACCCGCCGGTCCAACCACCGGGTCACCGGTCGAACCATTGACCCGTTGCATTATCCGAGTTAGTGTCCGGGTCGGGTCTGACAACTATGGGAAAAACCATTGGTCAAAGGTTATTTTTCAAAGAATTATTTTTTGGGGGGTCTATTTTCACAATACTTATGTTTGATAAGTCTATCTCCACTAAGGAAAATGGTGTCACAATGGACACATAAAGGCTCCTTATTGAGGATGTGCTTGCGGGTCAGGCACCAATCCAATAGATGTTTTCTGTGTGCCCATTATGGACTCCCCTCAACTAATTTCCTCAAATATTAAGGAGTTGACCATAAGAATATGCAAAACCATTTTCATCGCAGTCTCCTTTCTTGCAATCATTCAGAAGAATCGTCAATTTCCTGAAATTACTTGCTATGGAAGTGGTGGCTGCAGTCCTCAATTCACTTTTAGCAGAACCTTGTCGACTCCTAGTTAGATCAATTTACAGCAGGATCAGTAACTTCTTGAAGAGTCAGAAGAATTTTATTGATCTGCAGAATAACATAAAGTCTCTGGTGTATCTTAGAGATGATTTGCGGCTAGAATTGGATGAGAATGAACGACATGAGAATCTACCCAGAACCCAGGTGGAAGAATGGCTGAAAAGGGCTGACGAGTTGGAGGTTAAAGTGAATGCATTACCCAGTGGAGATAGTTGCAGGCTGCGTTATAAATTAAGCAGAAAACTTGTAAAATTGCTTAAGGAAGCGAAACAGCTTATGGAAGCTGGCAGTTTCTTCGAGAATATGTTGGTTGTAACTGAGAGGCCGAAAACAGTTGAGCATATTCCGGGTCCTTCGATTATGGGTCAGAAAACAGCATCGCTGAATTTGTCGAAGATAATGGAACTTTTGATCAATGACAAGGTTAAGAGAATTGGGATTTGTGGGATGGGGGGAGTAGGCAAATCTACTTTGGTGAAGAATTTGAATAATGAGCTCAACAAGATGCCTTCAGCACAACCTTTCAGTGTTATAATATGGGCTACGTCGTCCAGAGAGACGAACTTGAGAAGAATTCAGATACAAATTGCTGAGATGTTGAATTTGCAGGTGAAGATGGAGGAGAGTGAAGAAAGAATTGGCATTCGACTGCATAAAAGGCTCAAAAAAGAGAGAGGATTTCTCCTTATTTTGGATGATGTTTGGGATGCGATTGATCTAGACCTTTTGGGCGTCCCACGCCCTGAAGTTCATGTCGGGAGCAAGATCATACTGACATCTCGTTCATTGGACGTATGCAGAGAGATGTTGACAGATATCAATATTGAAGTGAATGCCCTAAATGGTGAAGAGGCTTGGGAATTGTTTTATCAGCACGCAGGGCAAATAGTCGAGGCAGAAAATATTAGACCTTTAGCTGAGGCGGTTGCCAAGGAATGTGGTGGCTTGCCTTTAGCTATCACTGTCGTTGGAGCGTCTATGAGGGGAAAATCAATGGTTCCACTCTGGAAAGACGCCTTGAGCACGTTGCAAAGGTCCGTCCCTCTTATCAAAGGGATTGAAGATAAGGTATTCAATACCTTAAAATGGAGTTACGATTCATTGCAAGATGAGCACATCAAATCTTGTTTTCTGTTTTGCTGTTTGTATCCAGAGGACTGGACAATTGAGGTATGTGAACTTGTCCGATATTGGTTTTCTGAAGGTTTACTCGATGAATGCCTAAACTACGAGGAACTAGAAAATCGAGGTATAGCTATTGTCCAAAGTCTAAGAGATTCCTGTTTGTTGGAACAAGGTATGTTTCCAAATACTGTAAAGATGCATGATGTAGTTCGTGATGTTTGTATATGGATGGTGTGTTCATCTCAGAATCGATACAGATCTTTGATTCGATCAGGAATTGGCTTGACTTGGATATCAGAGCAAGAATTTCCAAGTTCTCTCAAGAGAGTTTCTTTGATGAATAATGAAATAGAAAGCCTGCCTGATTGCACAGTAAAATGTGCAGAAGCATCAACTTTGCTCCTAAGTGGTAATCATAACCTTAAGATTGTTCCTGGCTCCTTCCTGCAAGGGTTTCAATCTCTCAGGATCTTGAATTTAAGTGGAAGCAAGATTCAATCCTTGCCTTCGACTCTTGTTCAACTAGGAGATCTTCGAGCTCTCCTTCTCCATCGTTGTTTCTCTCTAACAGAGTTACCCTCTTTAGAAGGTCTAAGTAAGCTTCAAGTGCTTGATTGTAGTGGCAGTTGCATCACTCAACTACCGTCAGGGCTGGCGAAATTGACAGATTTGAGGCAACTAGACATATCTGAGACTTCCTGTTTACGAACAATCCCATCTAGAACGATTTCCAGCTTGCGTAATCTGGAGTTCTTAAACCTGGTACATACTGCATACAAGTGGTGCGCGAAGGGAGAGTCGGTCGAGGGACAAACACCCTTCGAAGAAGTGCTGTGCCTCAAGAAATTAGTCACACTTTATGTTCTATTGGACTATATCCCCTGTCTCACCTCCAATGAAATCAACTGGTCCAGAAGAATTAAAAGATTCAAACTTTTTATTGGTGAAGGCGCTCATATGCATGATAACATTTTAACTGACTATGATGACAACTGTGTGATTCTTAATCGACTCTCTTTCTCTCGAGAATGGATTGGGGGGTTATTAAGTAATGCATCTTCACTACGAATTAGTTTCTGTGAAGGACTTAATCAGATGCTCGAGAAGTTGGTAATAGACAGCACTAAAGTTGGATGTTTTGCTGGTATGAAGTTGCTAAAGATTTCGTTCTCTCACAGCACCTTGAAGCCTACTCCTGGAGGATTCATTGCATCTTTTGACCTGCTACCAAATCTAGAAGAAATTTACCTCCATTCTTTGAGTAAATTGGAAAGCATTTCGGATTTTGGGTATTTTCTTGGTCTACGTTTATCTAAACTAAGGATCATAGATGTTTTTAGTTGTCCCCAACTAAAACATCTTTTCTCTGTTGAGGGTACGGGGCGAACCTTGATTAAACTAGAAGAGGTCAGAATAGAATCATGTGAGAGGTTGAAAGTGCTATTCGAGTATCCTAATTTGGGGCAACAATTAGAGACGGACTGTGTTGCCCCTAACCTAAGAGTGCTGAAGTTGAAGAACCTTCAAAATTTAGAGGCTCTAAGCAGGCATAATGAATCATGGCAGCATCTGCAGCAGCTTAAATTGCTCAACTGCAATCAAATAAGGAAGCTACCTCTCACTACCCAAAACAAGCACTCGATAAAGGAAGAAATAGGGGAGTTGGAGTGGTGGAATGGAACCGACTAGAGTGGGATAACGAGGATATGAAACAAGTGAAGAATCACTTCGTCGCCGTTGATAGCCTTGGTCGGGTGATCGACATTGCTGATAGCATAATATAGACTGGTCAAATGCCTCTGCATGAAATTCTTCTTAATAGAACCATATTTATGTTATTGCATGATAAAAAGTTCTTGCAAATTTGCGCAAATCTTGAAGCACCAATTTCTTCTATTGTACATCAAACACAAGTGTAACGGCCCAAATTTTGTATAAAACTAAATATGAATTGTTACCAAATTTTATTGGATAAAACTGTAACAATAAGTATTTTACTGTGTTCAACGGCCAACTAAACAATTAATTTTAAAAAAATGGAAATTGGCAGCAGAAGATTACACTACTACATCAAGCAATTAATTTCAAACTTCCAATTAAAAGTGCAATCTAAACATATCCATATACAAATAAACGTATGAGAATTAAATTTTGAAATAATGTCTATTGCAATTAAACTTAAAAGGAACAAAGTTACGTGCTAAATTTTAGATTTTCGTCTAGCCTGTGAGAAGTAGGGGAAAAAGGATGAGTACATGGGAATAATCAGTAGGATATAAAAATAATGGTGCAATCCCGAATAAAAGATTTAAAACATATGTCAAAATATCATACCGTCATCATATCTTCAGAAACCGGTAAGAGTTTAATAAACATCATATCTTTGGTACCGGATGGCCATAACATGCATATCATATCATACCTTTAAACTTTCATAAGCATAATAATCCAACAACATTAAAATAAACAATTTAAACGGGAAAAAAAACTGCACCTCGCTATCCTTCCTTGTTGGATTTCTTAAAATTGGAAGACGACAAAACTAAAAGAAATCACGTTCACTTAATTCTTTCTGTCTCTGCCGTATTTTTGCATATACATACATTGTATAAAATTTATTGCCTTCATGAGTTATATCCTACTATATTAAAAAGGACACTTCCTTGACTACTGTAGGTGCAATAGTAATCTAATGAGATGTTATTGTCCATTCTCCCATTTTTCACTCATTCAGTCCTCCAATTTTATGATTTCTTACGTCTTATATCCATTTTATACATGTATATATATCAATTTCCATTTTTTTTTCTCAGTTTGCTATAAAAAACGACGACGACGTATTGGAGTTTGAATAATTTGATTTGTCTTTCTATTTTGAAGAACTTGATTTTATCTTGAAAATTGGTTCCAGACATCTTAATTGTGTTTTATAAAAAAAAAAAAAAAAAAAAAATTTGCGAACATGGTGTCTCCGCGCTGTGCGGAGATTTTATTTTTTTAACACCCCTACTATATAAAAAAGGCAATGAGGAGTGCACTGTAGATGCAATAGTGATCTAATCCCCTTCCAAATTTATTTCCCTTTTTTCCACTTTGTTTTTAATATTTCCTCCTTTTGACTGCAAAACGACGTCGTTTTGCCTTAACTTATGGCAAAACGATGTCGTTTTTGTTCTTTCACTTTCTTATTCATTTTTCTGACACACTCAACATTCTTTTGTCCTTTCCCAACTTTATTCCCAGAATTTGCTCGCTATTTTCCAATCTCTCATCTGACGCACACAACGTTTTCCTTTTTCCTTCAGCCTTTGCCAACTCTTTCTTAGAATTTGTTCTCCATTTTTCGAGGGACTTTAACTTCACCAATTCTTTTTCTTTGCTTCATCTGATTGTAATCTGAAAGGGTTTTCTTTTATACGTGTAAAGTTCTTTTCTTTGATGGTTGGACTTGTGGATTTGATTTTTCTTCGTAGGATTATTACTTGAAAAGAAAAAAAAAATTCTTTATCTTTATTCAAGATTTTACTGACTCTATTTTCTTCCTTCTCTGGTGACATCAACGAGATTAACGGTACTCACTTAAGCTTTCATCTTCTTCGAATTTTTTAGGTGGGTTTTTCTGTATAGGACATAATGGAGCAGACCCTTCATATCTTGCTTCGAAGATTGAAATTGGGTACCCAAGAGGTGCACATTTTTTCAATCTTACTTATAACTCTGACATTCCATGAATCTATCAACTATTATTTATGAATCTTGAAATCATTTACATTTAACAATTTCTCAAATTTTCATCTTCCTTTATTACATCTTACATCTCTCTGTTATCAATGAATTAAAATCAATTTATTTTTTTTACTTTTCTTTCTTTATAGACGCATATATATACAAATGGTAGTCTGAAGTTGGGGGATTTCAAGGTTATGGCAATTGCAGCAACAACTATTGTTGTGTCGTTGGGTGTTTTCTTTTTCTTATCTGGGCTCGTTGTCAAGCTATGCATTTACACAAGATTAAAAATCAATTTTTTAATGGTTTCTGGTATGGTTTTTGATTTAGTTGAGCCGATTAAACTGGTTTTTCTTTATCCCTAGCTGATTTGCTAAATCCTTTTTTTTTTTTGGGGTTTCTTTTTTTTTAATTTAATCTTTCTTGAGTGATTTTCTGATTTTTTTTTTTTTTTGTAATATATGTTATTCATGGGTAAAGTATTTTTGAATTTGAACAAATGTCACAAAATTTATTGGGGGATTTCTCAGACACTATGTTTTCTGCTAATAAGACCATTGTCGAAGAACACTTACAGGAGCATAAATAAAGCAGTGGCAGAGTTGTTGTGGCTCCAGCTGAATTGGTTGGTTGACTGGTGGATCAGAGTTAAGGTGAAGAAATCTAAGCTTGCTATTGTATTTTTGATATTATATATTATTTCTTGATTGCAAAGCTTATTTCTTTATGTTACGAAGAACATTTCGAATATCCGATATCTTAAATGAAGTTATTTTATTTGTATTAAGAGTGATGATATAGTTGTTTATTCTTCTTGGAAATTTCAATCATTAAATATGGAAATTGTTGCGACGATCAAATTATTTTCTTTTTACAGATTTGGATACATTTATAATCGAGTGCAAAGATTTCAAAAGTTATATCTAAAGTTGCAAATATTGTTTGCTTAAAGGGTTAAAATGTTGTGTCTTGATTTACCAAGCTTAAACATTACCTTGGTGCTTAAAAGTGGATTAAATATATCGTTATTTTTTTTACTTTCACGAGCACCATGAGATGTATCCGTATTATTCGTTCAAGTTTTGAATAACGGCAATAAGCCATATGAGATAGTAATTTATTATTGATTGATCAATGTTTAAATTGTGTAGTTGGGAACGTGTTGCAAGAGGCTCGTTTAAGCTTTTATAAATTGAAGGATAAGCCTTGACAAATGATGCCGAAGGCGTAAAATTCATGTTTAAAGCCTAATGTGATCTCAAAGCATATGTCTTAGACATGGTTTAAAACAATGATTCTAATTTCAATTTTTTGAGAGGCTTATGAATTTTTCTTTAGGTTTTATTTAGGCAAAAGTTCATTGTTATGCTTTTCTTTTCCTTGTGATGACATTCATTTTCACTGCTTGCTTTAACATACAATCAATTTTGGGTTCATGTTAAAAACTGATCACTGTATATACGATTTGTCTGTTGTCTCTGCTTACCTATTTCAGGGTTACAGTATATGACATTTAAAGATAGAGATTTCTTAGAGAAAATCAAATAACACTTGGGATAATTGCAATACTTCCTAAAAGTTTTGAATATAATTGCAGATAATTTGTTAATATGGTAAATATGCTTAGTACCCATTTGCACAACATATGTTGATAACTGCCAAAAACCCTGACTTTCTGAATCAAGACTGTCAAGGTTCTGTGTTTTATCCTAACTAAAGTGCTCAACTATGTTCAGTAGAATCTCAGTTAGATGTGTAATCTACATAATTTTCCTCCAATTTCCCTCCAATTTCGAAAGGATGTCTTCCTTGTTTTAATCTTAAAACATTTATGTAAATATCTATAGAGAGAATGAGCTAAGCCTTATCTTCAATAAACTTGGTGTCAAGTATACGAATCATGTTTTTAAAAATAAATCTTCAATGTGGCCCCTTGGTAGACCTTCATTTCCATTTTTCCCATTCTATTTTTGATGTACATCTTTTTAATGTTTTTTATAATCTTTGAACTGGATAGATATATTTTGGTCAAATTAAAGTAAAGAAATGTAAATGTAAATTTTATGCTGTATGAATAGGGTTCATCTATGTCATTTGATACGTTTTGTGATAGGTATTTGAGGGTGCTTATAAGTCACCTAAGCATAATTATCCTCGATGATATTTAAAGGTAACTATTATTGACTGATTTCCCAAATTGATTTCTTTTTGTTTTTATAATTGGTCTTCCAGTAGTTTCTTGTCAGCTTTATGTGGGTAGTGTACTTATCTTTCAATTTTTTTTATTTTTTTTTCCATATTTGACTTCCCACTTAGTGTACCAATTTATTAAGAATACACATATTATTAGAAGTTGTTAGAAGAATGCTATTTTGTTGGTTGAGTGCTACAAGATCTAGAAATTTGTTTTGCTCTTTTCTTAAGAAGTTTTATTATTTTTTATTGCAATTCTATTGTCAGCCATAGTGAAAATTGATAATAATTACTATTCTGAGGTATAATTAGGTTGCAAAGGTCAAATATTCTCTTTTTATTTTTTATTGCAATTCTATTGTCAGCCATAGTGAAAATTGATATTAATTACTATTCTGAGGTATAATTAGTTTGCAAAGGTCAAATATTCTCTTTCCAAATCATGAACAACCTTTTGGATGCCAAAAGTAATCTTTTTGCCTAATATTTGTCAAACACTCCACCATATGTACATTCTCAATGCTGGGTCTGGCTTGAAGAAGGTCATTTCGCCTGCCACTCAAAACTTTTTTGGTGCAAGAACTCTTGCAAAGATACATGTAAAGGCTATGAAGTGCACTTTAACATTTGCCTTTCTTTTCTTTTTATTCCTTATTGCAACTTCAACTGATCTGTTCTAGCAATCTATTTACAGGTTATAGGCGCTAACTTTTTGGGGTGACTACTTCAAGTCATTGACCCAATGTTGAATTCTCTTTTATATTTTC